CCAGAAGCAGAAAGTCCACAAAGGCTGAAGCTAGAAGAAAACAAGTCCATAAGAGACAGACTTAAGATTTTCTCAAATGATGCCAATTGTTTCCCCGTTGATCTCTTACACACACACACACACACACACACACAGTTTAGATAAATCTAATCCTCTAAATCATCTAAACCCGAGTCTCCTTTAAAGTCTTGAAAGCCTACTTGGATTCACCAGACATAAAGAGAAAAATTTGGCAGGCTCTGATTAAGAATTCTATTAGGGTTGGGGAGGCTGTTTGGAATCCCAGCAGAGGGGAGTGTGAGGCAGGATGAGGTCAGTTGGGGCTGGGGCTACAAAACCAGAACACACACGAAAAAAAAATAAAGACAAACGAAAACAAGTGACTTAGAATACAAGAGCATGAGTCTCATGTGCTTTGATTTGGCTTCTTAAAAAACAATTCCCTTCACAAGTAACTCTTTTTGAGTGTGGGGCGGAGTGAGAGATGGTAGGAAGTGCTGCAATACTAGGGCTTGACCTCAGGGGTCTGTCCCTGCCTTTTTGCTCAAGTCTAGTCTTCTATCCCATGAGTCAAAACTCCACTTCTGGCTTTTAGCTGGTCAGTTGGAGATGAGGGCTGGGAAGGTGGCTCAGTGGTAGAGCGCTTGCCTTGCATGCCTGAGGCCCTGGGTTCGATTCCTCAGCAGCACATAAGCACAAAAGCCGGAAGTGGTGCTGTGGCTCAAGTGGTAGAGCGCTAGCCTTGAGCTGAAGAGCTGAGGGACAGCGCCCAGGCCCAGGGTTCAGGCTACATGACCGACAAAAGAAAAAAAAAAAAAGGAGATAAAAGTCTCATGGATTTTCCTGCTCAGGCTGGGTTCGAACTGTGGACGCTCCGATTGCAGCCTCCTGAGTAGCTGGGATTACAGGGGTGAGCCGACACCCGACTCCAGGCTTAGCGTTCCGATCCCACAGTGGGGGCTGAACCTCTTTGCCGGGAGTCATTTCCAGGGCGCTCAAGTGATCACTGGGGCTTTTGCCCTAACAGCAGGCGACACAGAAGACTGGAGTACGGCCGAGGCCACAACGGCTTTTGTCCGACGCGTTATGACGTCACACGCAGGCCCGCCACGCCCACCGGCGCGCGCACTTCAACCAACCGCCCCTCTCATACCAGCGGACCTGGGGCACGAGCGGGCCCGACAATTCCCCGGTGTGCAGTGTCTCCCCTCTCTCCTTACCCCGCCGCGTTTGCTATGGGGTCGCCAGGGCTGTTTCGCTCGTAGAGCCGAGCCTGTCTCTAGGCGACGCGCAGTTGCAGCGGAGGCTCCACAGCGGGAACGGCTCCTCGTAGATCCGGGGACCTAACGTACAGAACCGCACGCGGGGGTTGCCGGGAGGGCCAGTGGGGCGCACTGATTGCGCAGGCGCTGGGACCACTCGGGGGCGGGGCGGGGCTGCGCTTCTCAAAGGTGGAAGCTGAGGAGATGGTCCCGCCCTGGTGACCGTGGGCAAACTGATCCTGTCCCTGCGGGAGCGGAGGAGGGGCGCAGACAGCGCTCCGGGGAGCCAGCCAGGTTCTTTGGCTTGTGATTGGAATTGTGTGTGTGAGAGGGAACCTCACTGTGAACCTTCTCCGTCTCATTGGCTAGACAACTCTCCTCTCTTCCCTCTCCCATCTCAGCAGAGATGATGGATGGTGGTGTGGGCAACTTTCTCAATTCTGAAAGACAAATGTCAGAAATGGTGCCCTTGGCTCACTCACTCTCTCCCTCCTTGGCTAGCTCTTTGTCTCTGCATGTCTCTCTTGTGGCTCTACCACAGCCAGGGGCTGGTGGATCAGGCCTGTAATTTTGGCAGAAGGCTGAAATCTGAGGATTCACAGTTCAAAGCTAGCTTAGGGCAGGAGTCTGTGAGACTTATCTCCAATTAACCAGCCAAAAGCTGAGGGTGGACGTGTGGCTCAAGTGGTAGAGTGCCAGCCTTGAGTGAAAATGCCAAGGGATAGTGCCCAGGCCAGCCTGGACTGACGGGCATGCATGGGCACAGGTGCACACACACCAGAAACCTCTACTATAACACGAGCCTCCAGTCTAAGGTTTTGCTAGATTTAGTTTTCTTGGTTAATCAGTGTGTATCTTTGAAATATGTAACTGTATTTCTAATGTGTTCCTACAGGCTGTGACTATCTGGATATTTTGATATGAGCCTTCCTTTTTTTTTTCTTTTCTGGGGAGGGGGTTCCGGTTGTGGGGCCTGAACTCTGGGCCTGGGCGCTGTCCCTCAGCTCTTCAGCTCAAGGCTAGCACTCTACCATTTGAGCCACAACGCCACTTCTGGCTTTTTTTTTTTTTTTTTTTTTTTTCTGTTTATGTCGTGCTGAGGAATTGAACTCAGGGCCTCAAGCATGAAAGGCAAGCGCTCTACCACTGAGCCACCTTTCCAGCCCCAAGCCTTCCTTTCCTTGAATCTGACTCAAAGGGAAAAACCATTTGGGGAGAAAATTGTGTATTTATTTTAATTTAACAAAAGGTTTACTGTGGAAAAGAATACAGAGTAAATTGTAGAATAAGATTTTTAAAATAATTCATGTTATGGACTAGTTGATTTAGTTCTTTCCCAGATTCTTAGGTTAAGATGACTTGCTTAGGAGCTCTAGACTAAGAAAAAAGACATTTAAGAAGCTCTAGATTAAGAAAAAAATTGTTAGCACTGGAGATGTGACTTTGAGAGCAAGTAGGTTCTGAGGGTGTTTTGTTTTTGGTCGGTCCTGGAGCTTGAACTCTGGGCTTGGGTACTGTCCCTGAGCTCTACAGCTCAAGGCTAGTGCTCTATCACTTTGAGCCACCGCACCACTTCCGGTTTTCTGGTGGTTCATTGGAGATGAGTCTCACAGATTTTCCTGCCCAGGCTGACTTTGAACTGCAGTCCTCAGATCTCAGCCTCCTGAGTAGCTGGGATTATAGGCACGAGCCACTGGCACCCGACAGCTCTGAATTTTAATCCTATTACTGCCAAATAGAAAAAAGTAAGAGAAGCAATATGGCTAAAGTAAGACAAGGCCTCACCATGTATCCCAGGCAGGCTTTGAACTCACAATCCTGCTTCCACCTTTCAAATTTATAGTTCATTTGTATTAATAAGGATTTCTCAGAACATAACCGGTAGCTTGATTGTGTTCTATGGTGGTGTTTGAGTTAGGAGGGCAGAATTGGTTACCCAGATAAAATGGCACATGAAGCTTAAAATATTGAATGAATCTGCTGCAAACACGGAATTAATATAAAAACCATTATTTCTAGTGGAAATATAGGTTTAGTTTCCTTGAAGGAGAGAAATATATTTATATTTCTTTTTTTTTGGTTGTGGGAGCTGAACGCTGGGCCTGGGAGCTGTCCCTCAGCTCTTCAGCTGAAGGATAGCACTCTACCACTTGAGCCACAGTGCCACTTCTGGCTTTTTCTGCTTATGTGGTGCTGAGGAATTGAACCCAGGGCCTCATACATGCAAGGCAAGCACTCTACCACTGAGCCACCTTCCTAGCCCTCATGACATATTTCTATAGTTTAAAAAGACCTAGTACAAAGATTTGCCTGTGGTGAAGGTCCAGGAAGACATTGTAGTTTATCCATAACTACATTTTGGTATGCATAGTGCCAAACAGCTGAAAAAACTCTAATGCCTACCAGTGGGGGTTAATAAAGTGATATTACAGTAGCCAATAGGTTGAGTGGGAGTTAATAAAGCCATATTACAGTAGCCATTATACATACAGCATTATGATTACAGAGTCTAGCATCTTTACTATGTTGGGAGTTGCTTAGGAATGTTTTTACAAAGAAACCACAGAATTTTGCATAGAGCAAAAACAGGCCATCTTCAAAAATTAAAAAGGCTCACATCTGTAATTCTAACTACTCAGAGGCCTAAGATTTGAGGATGAAGATTTGAAGCCTGCCCAGGCAGGAAAGTCAGTAAGACTCGCATCTCCAATTAACCAGCTAAAAGCCAGAAGTATGGCTGAAGCGCTAGGGCACCAGCCTTAAGAGAAAAACTAGCCAGGCGTTGGTGGCTAACACTTATAATCCTAGCTACTCAGGAGACTGAGATCTGAGGCTCATGGTTCAAAGCCAGCCTGGGCAGGAAAGTCTGTGATACTCATCTCCAGTTAACCACCAGAAAATCAGAAGTGGCACTGTGGCTCAAGTGGTAGAGCTTTAGCCTGAGTGAAAGAGCTCAGGGACAGCAACCAGGCACTTAGTTCAAGCCCCCTGACTGAAAAAAAAAAAAAAAAGAGAGAGAGAAAAGCTAAGAGACAGTGTCCAGGCCCTGAGTTCAAGCCAAAAGCACAACTAAAAAAAGTTACTTCTCCCAGTTATTTTTTAAAAAAATATATTACAAACCATGATAGAGATACACTTTACAAGTCACATGAATTCAAGATGGATTAAAATGGTAATACAACAGTTACAAGAAAGTCACAGAAAAAAATGGCAACTACAAGTTTTCATTTTTGCATGACTCCTGGTTTCTGAAAAGGTTAGGAGGAGGCTGGTGGTAGAGTGGTGGTTAGAGTGCCTGCCTAACACAGCACAGGCCTTGTTTTGTTCAAACCCCAGCATCACTAGAAAAGGTGAAGAAGAGAGTAGAAGAGTCAAAAGTGTCTTAAAAAATATTTGTTAGACTGAATAAAGTCAAGAGAAGTATAAATTTATATTATAAAAGTTATAAAATATATTCTATTCAATGTGTGTTTTCACAACAGTTTTCTTCAGCTGAATAAGCTGTACTCAACAAGTAAAATGTTTTTAGATTCTTCTATCTAAAGGGGTTGTTAGAAACACAAATTCTCTTTAGATGGAATTGTTCTGAACCTTCCCATGATAGAAAGAAACTTTACTTACAGTGACATAAATTTATGTACTGGCCCATTACCAGTACAAATTTTGATGCTGGAGAAGTTGTGAGCCATAATCAAAGTTTTTCTCACATTCTCTATATTCATAAAGTTTCTCACCAGCGTGGACTCGATGATGGCTGATCAGCTGTGAACTCTGAGAATAAGCCTTCCCACATATCTTACACTCATAGGGTTTCTCTCCAGTATGAATCCTCTGATGTCGAGTAAGATCAGAGCCAGAACGAAAAGCCTTCTCACACTGCTTACATTCGTAGGGCTTCTCACCTGTGTGTATCCTCTGATGTTTAATAAGTTGAGAACTCTGACTAAAGGCATTCCCACATTCCTTACATTCATAGGGCTTCTCTCCAGTGTGAATTCTCTGATGCTGAGTAAAATTTGACCCACTACTGAAAGCCTTCCCACATTCCTTACATTCGTAGGGCTTCTCACCAGTGTGGATTCGCTGATGGCGAGTAAAATTGGAACCACTACTGAAAGCCTTCCCACATTCCTTACATTCGTAGGGTTTCTCACCAGTGTGAATTCGATGATGTCGAGTGAGGTCAGAGCCACAAATAAAGGTTTTCCCACATTCTTTACATTCAAAGGGTTTCTTGCCAGTGTGAATTTTCTCATGATGAGCCAGTCTTGAGGGGTGCCTAAAGGCCTTACCACATTCCTTGCATTCATAGGGCTTCTCTATGGTATGAATTATCTCATGGGGAGTCAGGTGTGAGCCAGGCCTAAAGGATTTCCTGTTTTCTTTTGTGGCACAGTATTTCTCTTTATTATTAATGATGTGCTGGAGTGTGAAGGATGGATGCTGACTGAAAGAGGGCATGTCATCAGAGGTGATTATCAGCTCACTGAAATGGTTCATCTGGGAGCCAGGGTGCTTCTCTACCTGGCCATTACACTCCCATTCATCTTGGCAACCTGAGTCTGAAATGTCATCTTTTGCAAGTCTTCCCATGAGTTCCCATGGGGATAAGCCTACTTCACAAATTTCCTTCTGCAGAAACGATTTCTTGGTCTCATGTGATTCCAAGACTGAAAGAGAGAATGAAAGCAGTCACTTAAGAGTTTTGTAATTTCGGAGGAGTGCAACTTTAATTGAAATGGAAAAATTAGCCAGGTGCTGGGACTCACATGTATAGTCTTAGCTACCTAGGAAGCTGAGATGTGTAGATGAACTGTTTGAAGCCAGCCCTGGGCAAACAAATCTAAGAGAATTTTAGGTCCAATTAGCCAGCAAAAAAGCTGTATTTGCAGTGGTAGATCAAGTTGTACATCTCCTGCCTCGAGAAAAAAAGGCTTAGCAAGAGAAGGCCCTAAATTCAAGGCTCTGTACTGACATCAATAAAATGGGGAGAGGCTGATTAATTTGAATTTTTAAAAAAATAGATAAAAAGAAGAGCTGATAAGGGGAAAAAAAACAAAAAAAAGCTGTCAAATATGCAATACATACTAAGCTAATATTGTGGAATTAACTATCTGAAATAAAGAAGATACTTAAAATTGTAGTCATCAGATAAAAACCCATGCTGCAACTTTCCTCTGATAGCTACAAGGTATTAAATCTTTATTGTCAAAGTAGAGGGCAGAATAAAAATCAACACCTTAAATCACATTTTCAGTTAAACTGCCAGACGTGGCAGCAATCAAAGCAACTAGCGAAGCACTGGTGGTTTACAACTGCAATCCTAACCACTTGAGAGTCTGAGATCTGAGAAGCAAGGTTAGAATCCAGCCTGAGGACCAAGGTTAGAATCCAGCCTAGACAAAAAGTCTTTGAGGCTGAGCAATGGTGGCTCATGCCTGTAATACTAGCTAGTAAGGTGGCTGAGATCTGAGATCAAGGTTCAAAGTCAGCCGGGGCAGGAAAGTCCCTGAGACTCTTATCTCCAATTAATCACCTGAAAACTGGAAGTGGTGCTGTGGTTCAAGTGGGAGAGTGATCACCTTGAGCTGAATAGCCGAAGGATAGTGCCCAGGCCCAGAATTCAAGCCCCAAGACCAACAAAAACAACAAAAAAAAGACAAAAAGTTTTTGAGAGACTCATTTTCAATTACCATAAAATCCTGGAAGTAAAGCTGTGACTCTAGTGGTAGAGTCTTCGCCTTAAGCTAAAGAGCTCAGGGACAGCTCCCAGGCCCAGAGCTCAAGCCCTAGGACTAACAAAAATAATAAGAGGCTGAGATCTGAGGATCAAGGTTAGAATCCAGCCTAGACAAAAAAAAAATCTCAGACTTGGGCTGGAAAGTTGGTTCAGTGGTAGAGTGCTTGCCTTGCATGCCTGAGGCCCTGGGTTCGATTCCTCAGCACCACATAAGCAAAAAGAAAAAAACCGGAAGTGGCGCTGTGGCTCAAGTGGTAGGACATTAGTCTTGAGCTAAAGAGCTGAGGGACAGTGTTCAGGCCCCACAACTGGACCAAAAAAAAAAAAAAAAAAATCTCAGACTTATCTCCAATTACCATTAAAAAAAAAAACCTGGAAGTAAAGCTATGGCTCAAGTGGAAGAGCACTAGCCGTGAATGAAAAAAGCCAAGCAAGAGCAAGAGGACCTAAGTTCAAGCCTCAGTACTGTCACAAAATAAACAAAATAAAAAAGATTAACTACAAAAGGGGATGAGAAGCTGTAAAGGATCAAAAGCTGGATCCAAACTAAGGGAAGGGAGGAAAAGCTTAGACAGGATGGAGGAGGAGCCAGCTTAGAAGGAGGAGAGAAACAGAACAGGAAAAAAGCTCGCAAGGGGTGATGAATAAGAGCAAAAGTTAAGATCATTTGAGACCTCCTTCGAGGAAGTTCCTATATTTGACAACAGACCTGAAGACTTTAAGGGAAGTTTCCTGGATAGCATCACAAGGAAATTGTTTCTCAACTAACCATTTGGACTGGATCCTGTCACTTACCTGACCACTGGCCTCTTGTCAGCTCTCCATCACCCAACCAAGGCTCCTTCCCTTGCTCCAAGTACAAAATCACATGAGGTTTCGAAATGGAATGTCCTGCCAACCAAAGAAGTCATGAATCAAGAGCAAATGGCTCACACTTGTAATCCCAGCTACTCAGCAGGCTCAGATGTAAGGCCAGCCATGGCAGGAAAATCTGTGGGGCACTTATCTCTAGTAACTACCAAAAAGCCAGAAATGGTGCTGTGACTCAAAGTGGGATAACACTAGCCTTGAGCAGAAAAGCTCAGGGACAGCATCCAGGTTCTGAGTTTAAACCCCAGTCTGACAACACACAAAAAAAGTAGAGAGGAATGGATAATGACAATATTTCAGAATTCAAGTCCATTTCCTCCCTTGTAAAGAAAGACTTAACACTGGGCTCTGGTGGTTCATCCCCATAATCCTAGCTACTTAAGGAGGCTCAGATCTGAGGTTCCTGGTTTAATGCCAGCTGGAGCAGGAAAGTCCATGAGACTCTCATCTGCAACTAACCACCAGAAAACCAGAAATGGAGGTATGGCTCAAAGTTGTAGAATGCTAGCCCTGAGCAGAAAAGCTCAGAGATGGCATCCAGGCCCTGATTTCAAGCCCCACAACCAACCAAAAAAAAAAAAAAATCACAAAAATAGGCAAAGAAAAGTACAACAGAAATATGTAACATACTAGATTCCAAATGTCTTCCATAACTCAATGGAGTGCCTTTATTGCTAACTCTAAAATGTTTAGAACACTCCGATGGGAACAGGATGTAGAACTCCAATTTTTTTTTGTGTGTGTGTCTGTGTGCTGGTACTGAAGCTTGAACTCAGGGTCTGGGCACTAGCCCTGAGCTTTTTCTCTCAAGACTGGCATTCTACTACTTGAGCCACAGCTCTACTTCTAGCTTTTGGAGATAATAATCTCATGGGCATTCCTAATCAGGCTGGCTTTGAACTGCAATATATCTCAGCCTCCTGAGTAGCTAGGATTTTTAGCATGAGCACTTGCACCTGGCTTCCAACTGGTTTTTCAACTGATAGTGAGCATTTTGCATTTGAAGACCTCCTGAAATACGAATGTGAAGGGTATGGACAAACATTCTTACCCATGGAAACCAGGATGCTGTAGGTTTCAAGCATCACGTCTCTGTATAAATCTCTTTGACCATCAGTCAGGCATTCCCACTCCTCCTGAGAAAAGTCTATGGATACATCACTGAACACTACTGCCTCCTGGAACAACAACCATGTATGACTTGATTAATGAAGTGGCTCTAAATAGGAAAGACAGAACATGATTTAGAGGAAATGAAATGCCAGGAGGATAGATGGATGCACGAGGTGGCTCATGCCTCCAATCCTATCCCATCAGGAGGGTGAAATGAGGAAGATTGCAGTTTGAAGCCAGCATGGGCAAAAAAAAGTCCATGAGAGGGGCTGGGAATGTGGCTTATTGGAAGAGTGCTTGCCTAGCATGCAAGAAGCCCTGGGTTCGATTCCTCAGTACCACCTAAGCAGAAAAAGCCAGAAGTGGCACTGTGGCTCAAGTGGTAGAGTGATACCCTTGAGCAAAAAGGAGCTTAGGGGTAATGCCAAAGCCCCAAGTTCAAGCCCCAGGATTGGCATAAAAAGAAAAAAAAATCCATAATCTTATTTTCAATTAATTACCAAAAAGCCAGAAGTGGAGCTCTGGCTCAAGGGATAGTGCATCAGTCTTAAGGACACACACACAAAACTAAGGTACAGTGCACAGACTCTGAATTCAAGCCCCAGTATCAGCAAAATCAATCAATCAATCAATATATCCACCAATAGAAAAGAACCTTACCTTTACAGTATGGGTAAGTATTATGGCACTGCTTATAACTAAACTGCTAGAAAGGCTTTTTCTGTTGTTTTGTTTTGTTTTTCCTCTTTTATTATTTTTATTTTTTTTTATCAGTCATGGGGCTTGAACTCTGGGCCTGGGTGCTGTTCCTCAACTCTTCAAGTCAAGGCTAGCGCTCTACTACTTGAGCCACAGCACCACTTCTGGTTTTCTGGTGGTCAATTGGAGATAAGAGTCTCATGGACTTTCCTGCCCAGGCTGGCTTTGAACAGTGATCCTCAGATCTCAGCCTCTTGAGCAGCTAGGATTACAGGCATGAGCCACTGAGTTTTTTGTTTTTTTTTTTTTTAACAAATACAAAAAGAATCATGAGAGGCTGGGAATGTGGCTCAGCAGTAGAGTGCTTGCCTTGCATGCATGAGTCCCTGGGTTCGATTCCTCAGTACCACATAAATAGAAAGAGCCGGACATGGCATTGTGGCTCAAGTGGTAGAGCATTAGCCTTGAGAGCTCAGACCTAGAGTTCAAGCCCCACAACTGAACCCCTCCCACCAAAAAAAAGAATTATTATGAGGAAAGTAAATGTTTAAGTGGGCCTAGAGGTAAAAATGACTCTTTTGGGGCTGGGAGCACAAGTGGAGGGGCACGTGCATGGTCAGGGATATAATGCCTGCTAAGCAAGTATGTAAGTCCCTCAGGTCAAACCTCAGTGTCCAGAGTGGGAGAAATATTCTTTTTGAGTTTATTTTGTTTTGTTTTTTTTGCCAGTCCTGGGGCTTGAACTCAGGGCCTTGGTACTGTCCCTGAGCTTCTTTTGCTCAAAGCTAACACTCTACCGCTTGAGCCACAGTGCTACTTCTGGCTTTTTCTGTGTATGTGGTACTGAGGAATTGAACCCAGGGCTTCATGCATGCTAGGCAAGCACTCTACCACTAAGCCACATTCCCAGCCCTCTTTTTGAGTTTAAAATAACAGCGTCTTACCTGCGCCATGGCTTTGGCTTTTATGTTTGTTCCTGAACACTCCTTAGGAAAAGGGCAGAGCTGTGAGAGGTAAAGGAAGATAAAGGAGCTCTTAATAGACTTTCATCCAGAATTGTC